CCAGTAATTAGTGCATCAGCCTAAGAAAAAGCAAAGGAATTCCAAGGATGATGGTGAAGGATGACACCTGTGCAGAGGCTTAGATGGCAACCAGTCCTGACTGAAGTGGGAAGATGGAAGACTCCAAGAGGAATGTCTCACCTGAGAGATCACTTGAAGCATTTGAACATTTTGAGAGATTTGCTTTTCCAGTGAAGAGATGGGGGATTAATTAGTAATGGGTATATCGAAAATAGGCTTATGAAATAAATGACTGTTAACTATATGACAAACTAAAAATTGAAAGAAATATAATATTCTATATGGCTCATTATATATAGTATTTTTACATAATCAATAACGTAAATACTGAGTAATGACATTATGTTTTAACTATATTGGGAGGATTGGGATCAGGAAGAGGGTGTAAGAGTTCATTCCTTACCTTCTATAGTATAAAGCTATTATACAGTATCTAAAACTAACAGGTCAGGAAGTAGCAATTTAATAGCTTAAAAGTATGGAGGTAATTACCATAAGAAAAAGCTAAAAGAATTGTCTCTGGGTAATGGGTAGGACTTTAGAAAGGGACTTTGTGGGGGACTGCTTGTTTGTTTAGATTGACTATCTTTGACTATTTAACTAAACAGACAGCTTTGATTTAAAAAATTTTAAGGATGAATGGAAGAGTAAGTAGATTAAACAAACTTAGACTATACTTTAAAGGAGCTTGACTGTGAAAGAAGAATTTTCCTTCATAAGTCAGACAGAGAAAGACAAATATCATATGATATTGCTTATATGTGGAATCTTTAAAAAAAAAAAAAAGGGTACAAATGAACTTACCTACAAGAAAGAAATAGAGTTACAGACGTAGAAAACAAACTTCTGGTTACCAGGGGGTAAGTCAGGGGAGAGGGATAAATTGGAATATTGGGATATACGCACTACTATATATAAAACAGATAACTAATAAGGACCTACTCTATAGCACTGGGAACTCTACTCAGTTCTCTGTAATGGCCTATATGGGAAAAGAATCTAAAAAAGGGTAGATATATGTATATGTATAACAGATTCACTTTGCTCTGCACCTGAAACTAACACAACACTGTAAGTCAACTATACTCCAATAAAAATTAAAATTAAAAAAAAGAATTTTCCTTCACTCCCCACACGCAAATCTTGTCATTATTCTAAATAAATATCTCAAATATATCCCATCTTCTCCCACCCAAAAACTCTTGCCTTTTAACTGGCCTACTAACCCCCTCAGTGTAGCCCTTTTCTATACAACCAGAGTTCATCTTTTGAGTTCTCTGATTAAAATTATCCATTAGCCTCTCATTTCCTTTAAGGTAAAATCCAGATTCTTTAATATCAGCTATAGTAGTGTGATCTAACACCCCTTCTCCCCTGATCTTTCATACCCTCAACTCCAGCCATTCTGAACTATGGGATTCTTTCTGTCCTTTCTACCCTTGCAGTCCTAGAACCCCAGTCTTCCTCAGTTCATCTGACAAAATTCCTTCTTACTCCTGACCCAGTATAACTTGACCACTACCAGCCTCACCTATCCCTCCTGTACAATCACTGTGATATGTTCTTTCCTTGTATTCCCATAATATCTTCTGCATGCTTCTGTTACCACATTTATCACACTGTTTTTATTGCTTATTTTCTTCCCAATCTGGCTCTTCCATCTTTTGTTTCCTGTGGTTGAGCTTCTTGAGCACTAAGACAGTGGCTTTTTTTTTTTTTTTACTTCCACCTTTCTCAGCTTTGTCCCCTAACACGATACTCAGATTATAGTAGTTACTCAGTACATATGTGGGGGAAGTAGTTGGGTGCATAGATGGATTCAAAGATGAGACCCTTAAATTTAAGGAAATTGAAGCTGAAATACATCATGCTAACCAATAGTATTTATTGTCAAATTGCAGTTATTTTTCTTAGTTGATTATAGCCACTCAGAGGAAAGGACACATCAAATATGGTGTAAATAATCAGCTCTCAGTAATCAAATGTAATGTGTGTTTATCTGTTTTCTAGAGGAAAATGTACTTGTGGCAACCTATGTTGAATTCCCTTTTTACCTATATTCCTGAAAGAGAATAGTAATGCATTAATAAGTCATATTAAAAGTGAAAGACCAGAAAGTAGATTAATGGTTGCAAAGAATGGGAGTAGAGAGGATGGCGAGTGATAGAACAGGCATGGGGTTTCTGCTGGGGTGATGAGAATGTTCTTGAATTAGAAAGTGGTGATGGTTATGCACCCTTGTGAATACAGTTGACCCTCGAACCACACAGGTTTGAACTGCACGGGTCCACTTATACACAAGTTTTTTTTCAGTAGTAAATACTGCAGTACTGCAGGAATCTGAGCATGGGGAGCTGTGGTTGCAGAGGTCCCCCTATAAATTATACTCAGATTTTCAACTTCACAGAGGGTTGGTGCCCCTAATGTGGCCGTTGTTCAAATGTCAACCATATACTAAAAAAACACTGAATTGTACACTTTAAAATTGTGAATTTTATGGTATGTGAATTATAACTGAAAAAGTGAAAAAAAGACAAGAGGTAGAATATTTAGCATTAGACGATAGTATCATAGTTATCTGGGAGGAGTCCTGTTCGTAAGGAAATTTACACCTATTATCAGAACAAATAAGGTTCCAAATTAAAAGTTAAAGACATTCAAAATAAATGATTATCTGAATGGTTTTTGTCAGAAAATCTCTTTCTAGCCCAATCATAGGACATCTGAATTTGCATTAGATAAAGTAAGGAAATACTCTGTGGTTTGTATTTTTTTTTTTTTTGACATTTGTTGCTGTTCACTCCAACTTTAAGTACCAAACAACTTTTTTCTTTCTTGCATTTTCCCTTTCTTTCTTTCTCTCTTTTTTTTTTTTTTTTCTTTTTTTTACATGGAAGAAATGGCATTGGGTCACCTGCAAGTCACTCAATAAGGAGGACATTTTTAATCTGTCTTTGGTTTGATGTACATATATAATCAGAATGTGTTGCCTTAATTTTAAAATATAACATTTAATTACCATGTAGTACTGACTTAGATAGATGGTAGTAGGTAGATAAATAGTAAAATATATTTGTCCAGTTCTAACCACATCTTTTGAATCATGGGATCTACTTCTGAGGAGCCAGGAGACCTAAGATGCCTTCAGTTAGAACTAAGCTTCTCCTATATCTATTCTCAGTTTGGCCTTATATGTCCTATTGGTTGAACTTATCATGGTATAGATTTGTTATTTTGTTGATCCATTCAACAAATATTTGTCAATGCCTGTGTGTTGCATGCACTCTTCTAGGCACTGGGCATATAGTAGTAAACAAGGCAAAAGTCCCATCCTCTTAAAACTTTCATTAGATAGTAGCCAGATTCTTAACCCTTTTTCTAAAAACTCACTTATTGATGATAGTTGGGCGATTAGAGTTTTTTACTGCTTTTCTTTGTTTTTTGTTTTTGAGGAGGGAGGAGAAGAAATCCTACTCATCCTTTATATTTTATTTCTTCACAAAATCTTCCTCAGCGCTCTTATGCAGAATTTACTGCCTGTTTTTGTGTTGTTCCTAATGCACTTTATATTAGCTTCTGCTCTACTTCTAAAAAGCAAATCCGGTCATGTCACTCCCTTATTTCCCTTTTAGTGATTCCCCATTACTCTTGGGTTTAAGTTCAGACATGATTTACAAGGGCTTTATGATCTGGTCCTGGCCTGTGTCTCCAGAGTCAATCCTCCATTGGACTTTCAGTTCGTCTAACATGCCCTGCTTCCCATTCCAATGAGCTTCCACGCCTGCTGCTTTATTTACTTAAAACAGTCTTCTTACCCTTTTTAATATGGCTAACTGCTACTAGTTTTTCAGATTTCATCGTAGATAGCACTTTCTCTGGTAAACCTTTCCTGACCAAACCCCCTACTGCAGTGTGGGGTACTCCTCCCCTGTACTGCTGTGGCACCTTGTGGTGCCATTAACCAAATACACATTACCTGCTATTACCATAGCCACCACTGGACAGTGTTTGTCTTTCTCCTCCTGTTTTAACCCCCAGTTCCTAACACAGTACGTGCTCAAACATTTGCTTCTGTTTCCTGTAATAACCTATGACGCCCTTGAGATTAGACTGTGTGTGGTACATCATAAGAAGTGCTAAGCAGATGTTTGAATGAATCAGTGAATGAGTGATTGTATTCTTTAGTCTTGGAGTGCAGCCATCTGAAAGAAAGGCTTGTGAACTGCCCCTCCACCCCCCAAACCTCTTCATGTTCTACGTCATACAAAGCCCCAGCTCTGTCTCTCCATCCGAGCAGAGTTTAAGAGCTCATTTTTGCTGCTTTTCAGAAATTGAATCATGTATTGAAATTTTTTAACTGAAGCTGCAAAAATAAAGTAATATTCAGCCCTCGTCCATGAATAGTAATGGATTTAGAGATTTCATAGCTTAAGACATGTTAAAACAGTTGTGTAAAATAGACCTTATCATGTATATGTCAAGTTGAGGGTTTTAGAGGAATAAAGAAAGATGTGTCAGGAAACTAGACTCTGGACAACACTCCTTCAAAAAAATGATGTGTGAAAAGCACTGTTGATTGTGAAATCTGCAACTAAACCTACCAATTCTTGAGCTTCTGGGTTAGACTTTCTGATTTAAGAATTTTGCATATACAACCTATTTATATTTTCTCTGAAACCCTTATCAGGAATTTTTATTTTAATTTTTTTCCTGACTTAAAAAAAAATTTGTCCTTAAGTAAAAATAGAGAAAAGCATATGTCCGAATGGTAGTGTTTTATTTTGTCTGCACATTTTCTCCTTTTATCTGTAAATACAGTGACATTTTATCTTTTTGTTTCTTAACTGAAGTGTGAATATGTTTTATCTGACTCTGTATAATGGAATTTTATCATTTATAGTAACCATTGATGTTAAATTTCATACTATTCTAACTGGAGTTTTTTTTGGCTTTTTGTTTTGTTTTTCTCTTATACCTAGTTGTTATGGAATTATAAGCTGAACCTAACTACAGATCCCAAATTTGAATCTGTGGCCAGAGAGGTTTGCAAGTCTACCATATCAGAGGTAGGTTGTGAAAGAAAGAATTTTGTGCATATTTAATGACTTAGAAGCGAAAATTACATATGTTGACCAGACCAGTCATTAAGGGAGGAATGACTGATTCAGTTACTTTACTTTTCTTGGAATTAACATATGTCTTGGCTCAGAGATAGGCTAAAGGGGTGTAATTAGACTTCTTTTTCTTAACGTTCACCTACACTTACAGTAGGATGCTGTTGATTCAGACAAGTTGGAAATCAGGCTCTTTTTGTCCCCAAATGGACAATACAATCACTTCTGTCATCAGTCAGTACTCTCACCCATTGTACACTCTGCTTATGACTGAAGTGTATCAAAATGGTTTCTCCAGGAGGCTGATAAACATTCCTAAGTGTTTTGGCTATGCACTTGGACCAGTTGAACCACAGGGCATATGCTTCAAATAATAGGAGTTAGCATTAAAAAGGTTTGTAAAAAGATTGTATATATTGTTATAAATGGATATTGAGTATAAAAACAAAAATAAAAATAATTACTAAAAATGTATAACATTATATGGATGCTAATTGGTGATATTTTTCAATCATTTCTCTTGGCTCAGTGTAAATATCAAATAATATTAGTGAAAATTGTGGTATTGAAATTTTTATTTTAATTCATTTTATTTTTTAGAATTAGTGATAGAAATTCCATGAAGCTGGGGATTTCTTCATACTGAAAGAATCACAAAGAAAATAGTTGCTATTTTTTTACCTCAAAGTTAATAATCACAGATCTTGCATCATATAGATTTGTCCCCAAACTACCCTATTGATGACTTAATTCAGGACCATTTTCTCCTGAGGTCTTAAGGAAGACTCTACTCCAACCAGATAAGTCCTCAGCTTGTGTTCCTAACTTTCGTCATTATGGGATCTTGTGGAACCTGTTTTCTTCCTCAAACTTTCTACTACTGAATCAGATATGATTTATTCTTTTAAAGCAGTGACCTTTCTTCATATGCGTTGGGGCTTCAGAATAGAATAGCTTATTTTAAAACATTGATCTTCAGCTTCTAGGTTCAGTATTATGCACCTCAAACTCCCTATGTGACTCGTGTACATACCAGTTTGAGTGCCATGTGGAAATTTAGCTCATAGACTATGCAGATTCATCAGAATAATCTCCCCCTTTGCTGGTTTTATCCATCTATATTTATAAAATGGAATTGGCTTCCTTGTAATGTATATGTTATGTCATGGCCCTCTTGTAACCTTTTGGGGTGTTGTGGTTTTATAAAAGATTAATGTAACAGGGACACTTCTCCCTCCCTAGAAGGAGATTATACTGGAGTCAAGAAAATTAAATATCAGGAAGAACATAGTTGCCAACAAAACATTTTATTCTACATCTCCCTCTTATCTTCTTTCTTAATTTTGGAATCCTTCCAAGGAGGAAAACAACATCATAAGAATACTGAAGACTGCCAACCAAACTTTTTATTTACTCTCCATGATTGAGTCAAATATTGCCTGCTTTTCTCCTGCCTCATGTCGAAAATAGAGTGACTATAGCATTTTTTAATGGCACCTTAAGAATCTGCCACTTCAGAGTTTGCTCCCATTCATAAATATGTTGATGATTTAATGCTGTTTTTTGCTGTTAATCTTAGAAATTTCTTTTATTAGACTTTTATTAGACTTCTCTCCAATAGAGTGGTTGAAGAAAAGCATATACTTTTAATTCAGACACATCTGGTTGTACTTGGTGGTGAACAAATAGGTGTTTCAGTAAAATCTCAGGTGATTGAAGCTAAATATACGTTTAATTTCTTACTGAGGCTCCAATTCAAAATGTCTCTTGGTCTTTCTTCAGAGTTTTAAACCATTGATTGCCCAGTACTAGAGCCTATATGAATACTTCTACTTCATTGTTTTAAAACCCAGGTGTCTGCCACTAGTCCTGTGTTTTTTATGCAGGGCTTTTCCAGTGGTTGAATTACAAATGCTGAGATTTTCAAGCAGCTATTTCTCCTTTCACTTTTGAAACTTACCTATGTTTTGCTTTTAAAGAATCACAAACAAACAAACAAAAAACCCTTTTCTTGGAAATACATTCACAGCCCTCTCTTTAGGCATCACCCAAAAAAAAGAGATCAATGTTAAGCTGAAAACGTTGCATTCAGCTTGTTGACTGTTGAAGATCTCTGCTGCCTCTTGAAGCCAGTGTTTCCAGGTTTGCTTCTTTAAAAGTAAACACGATTTCCTCTCTTGAACTGAGTCTTTGACTTGCTCTGGATTTAATCCTGGGGTTAGACATGAAGAGACCCACCGGCCCATAGGACAATTAGTATGTGGTATGTCCTTCACCTAGCACCTTTTGGAAAAGGAGATTGTATTTGTCTTATCAAGTGTACATGTTTACCATAGGTGGTGTAATAGTACAGAATGGTCTCTATTGGTTTCAAAAAAACCAATAAAATATTCCCTTCTCATTTTTTTTTTCCTTTTCATTTTTATTGGAAACAGACATTTACATTTGGCTCCTTCCTCTTGTCAAAACTGCCTTTTTTTTTTAATTGCTCCAAATACAACAGGCTTTTTCTAAACAACCTTCTGTGCTTTATAATTCAAGCTTAAAACCCTGTAAGTAGATTTCACTTTTTTATGCCTGAATTTCAACATTTTGGGGCTGTTTTCCTTCATTAGCGCTTGTGATTTTGTGTACTTTGCAGGAACACTACCCATGTGGAGTCACGCTGTGCTTGATCCACTAGATCATATGTCTAAACCACCCAAATTAGACTTGCAATGGCCTTCCCCTTCCCAAACTTCTTGCCAGACTGCACTGAACATCATTTTTTTTAAATAAATTTATTATTTATTTTTGGCTGCATTGGGTCTTTGTTGCTACATGCGGGCTTTCTCTAGTTGCGGCGAGTGGGAGCTACTCTTTGTTGCGGTGCGCGGGCTTCTCACTGCAGTGGCTTCTCTTCTTGCAGAGCACGAGCTCTAGACGCGTGGGCTTCAGTAGTTGTGGTTTGCGGGCTCTGGAGCGCAGCCTCAGTAGTTGTGGCGAACAGGCTTAGTTGCTCCGCAGCATGTGGGATCTTCCCGGACCAGGGCTGGAACGCGTGTTCCCTGCATTGGCAGGCAGATTCTTAACCACTGCACCACCAGGGAAGTCCCTAAACATCATATTTAAACATATTTCTGTTCTAGACCACAGTGTTGAAGGTGGGATTCTACTAGGTTCAAAAACATATGTCCAAATCCATAGTTAATTCAGAACACATTAATGTCATGTCAAGAGGTAATAGTACGCCTTCCTCCCTCCCTCCCCTTGGTCATTAGGTTTACCTAACATTAATAGTTTGCTGTGTAGCTTGGCTTGGGATATGCAACTAGACTTTAGTTCTGCACCTGTTTTTCAGACCTGTTCCTTAGACTAATCTTCTCACTGTCCATTGTGTTCTTTGCATGGATAAAGGGACTTCTCAGTAGAATCATTATAAAAAGAGCTGTGAAAAGCTCTTTTCAATTTTAATTGAAAATTAATCAACTTTCTCAACACATTTTAATCAACTTTCTCAACAAAGCTGAAAATTTTTAAAAAGCTCTTTTTACTCCATTTAAACATGAGTTTTACCTAAGCATTTGTATATGTATGTATTCTCTTGCAAAGCATATTAATCAGGTATTTCCTAGAAGGTGCAACGATCTGAGTAGGCATGGCACACTATTTTCTTTAAAACACAAGCATTTCTAAGTGTTTTCCTTTTTCTTCCGAGGAATAAGAAACAAGAAAATATCATTCTCTCTTTTGTAAAAGTTGTTTGGTAAGAGAATAGTATACTTGTGTAAAACAGCCACTTTCCTTTGAGCAGATCAAAGAGTGTGCTGATGAACCAGTTGGAAAAGGTTACTTGGTTTCCTGCTTGGTGGATCACCGAGGCAACATCACTGAGTACCAGTGTCACCAATACATCACCAAGATGACAGCCATCATTTTCAGTGATTACCGTCTAATCTGTGGCTTCATGGATGACTGTAAAAATGACATCAACATTCTGAAATGTGGGAGCATTCGGCTTGGAGAAAAGGTATCTACTACACTGCCTTCACCAAAGGGGTCTTACAGACTCGATGAATGAAAAGCTTTGTATGACTGGCGTGGAAAAAATTTAGGGCTAGAGGTAGACTTAAAGTTGATGTCCAGACAGCCCCAATATCTAAGGCTAGTTGGCCTGTGGGTACACTTCATCTGTTTGTAACAAAATGTTTCGATACTCTATGGAGGAGTAGAGGAATTAATATCTACTAAGATTAGTGTGAGCTTCAAAATGCAAAACCAGCTGCTGGTTACCTATAACGTTCCTCTAGAAAAGTATTCAGTAGTCCTGTGGGAAAAGTAGTTGGATTAGGAGAGACTCAAGTTCTCTAACCTTTCTTTGCATATACCTCACTGTTGCCATAAAAAAAAATTACGTAGTAAGTACACCAGTATAAAAGAAGATAATGTATTTAAAAATTAGAAAATTGAAAAATATAGAAGGTACTTTTGGCTTCTCAGAAGAAAGCTACTCTGTAAATGTGATATATGTTATGTTCATCTCAGGAGAACTAGTTTTACTAAAGACAGGAAAGAAAATAACTACCTAGGTTCTTCTTCCTTAATTATATCTGATCTTATTTTTGTCCTTATTAGTCTGTTGTCCAGAGGGTCACAATGGAGGTTCAGCCAGGTTAATGCTGAATTTGTTTGCTTAGCAAAAATGAAAGAACTCCTGAGAAGTAGCAGATGCCGGTGGGAGAGGTAGTCTGAGACCCATGTATGGCATCAGCTGTTAATTGCTGCTGCTCATTAATCTGCTGTTCAGGAAGTACGAGAGAAAGCAAAATCCATTTGTGCCTTTGCCCTCTGTTCAGAGCACTGTGACTTGCAGCCTTCCATCCCTGACTGGGGGGCGTGGTGTTAGAATTCTGGAACTGCACACACCAGTTCAAATGAAGGTTTGAGCGCTGGTTATTGTCTGGCTGTCACCAAATACCCTTTGCTTCATACCAGCACAGGGCTCGCCCTTTCACAGGGAACCTCTGAGTCAGTCTTGAGAGCACTGTGAACTGGCATTTAGCTTTCAGGCAGCTAATGAAAGGCCAGTTTTAATAAAGAAGGGTGATTCTTCACTTTCCCAGCACACTGTAGAAATGGCACAAAAGCATTTAAGTCACCCTGATAGTTCAGGAAGCGCCTCTGACTTTATTTAGGGTGTTGAGGGTTATATCCAGTTCCAAACCTCGCTCTTAAAAATCTTCATATAAGTGTAACAGACACACTTTTCAGGAATCAGTAATGACACATTTTCATTTTTGTGGTTAGTGATCCGTGCTGTAGAGCAGACCGTTACAATTCACCTCTCTTTGTAGTAGTTCTTCCCTTTTGCCCACCAAGATAATCGCTGGTTAGCTTCCCACTAGCAATCTGAACTGTCAGTGTAAAACCTGCTTTCAGCTGCGTGTCCAAGTTACTAAGTCTACACTGACTTGAACCGTGGTAGAATATAACAGTGCCGGAGCCCAAAGATGTGACAGTGAGGATTGATTTTTCAGCTTAGTTAAAATAACAAAAAATGTTTCCATGGACCATCCAAATGCACATTTTTGTCATTTTCATCTTTGGCTCTACCTGCCAGTTAGATGAATTTCTTTTTACTCCAGACCCCCACCCTAGCACCCTAGAATGACTCATGCCTGCAGTTCTGAAAAAGCATGTTCCTTTCTATGTAATCCACCCTATTGCTACAGCCAAGTTTAAAAATGATAGCAGTCTGTCCTCAGCCCTTCTTTGCCTTTTTCTAACTATAGTTTACTTCTCTGAAGCCAAGTTACTTAGTTTTTAAAATTATCCTGAAAATTTATAAAGTCAGCTTCTGACCACAGAAGAGAACACACTCATCAGTTTTAAATTTGTTGCCCTGAAGCTTGCAAACTCCTCTGTGACTAGCTTTGAACTCACCTCCAAAGGTCAGAGGAGAGGGGTCATGGTTAATCTGTTTATACCCTGCCTCTGTATGAACATATAAATGTCATAATTTCAAAACTATAATGATTTTTTCAGAATGTTAATATATGTAAATTTTTAGAACAGAGACTATATATTTAATAAAACCTTTAGAATTTTCTAAATAAATATTTTTAAAATGAAAAGGCAGATCTCCAAAAGTAAATGTAAATAATTTATATCATTTGAAGAGAAAGTAGAATGTGGCATCCAGTACAGGAGCTTAATTGCAAACAAGTGCCTCATGTTATTACTACTTTTATACTTTTCACACACTAGTTTTATCATTTTATCCTTTTCTGCTTTTAACCAACTACTCTGAATAGTTCAGACATTCTTTTTCTCTCTTTACCTATAGAGATAGATCACAGAAGACATTACAGATGTTGAAATGGAGAATGGTTAATAGCGGAGATGAAAACTGAGTTCTTACCCACCTTTTTGTGATTAGTGTTATCCTTCTCTGGTCTTTCAAAAAATTTTTTTAATAAGGCAAGGTGTATGAAGAAGAAAAAATATTACCTATTGAACTGCTAAAAACTGATGGGGACACTAGTAATAGTTTTTTTGTGTGTGTGTGGTACACGGGCCTCTCACTGTTGTGGCCTCTCCCGCTGCGGAGCACAGGCTCCGGACGCGCAGGCTCAGCGGCCATGGCTCACGGGCCCAGCCGCTCCGCGGCACGTGGGATCTTCCCGGACCGGGGCACGAACCCATGTCCCCTGCATCGGCAGGCGGACTCTCAACCACTGCGCCACCAGGGAAGCCCAGTAATAGTTTTAAGACAGACATTTGTCTCACCATGATAGAATTTTAAAAATTCATTTTACGTCCATTTACAGTATCATTTGTTATTCATATGTCAAGCCTGCATATTAATAACTTTTAAAAACCTAACCCTAAGTAATTTCACTTTCTTGTAGGTAATGTGCTGCTGTACAGTTCCTTGCTTTCATTCACATTCAGTAATAACCCTACAGTCTTCTTTGTCAAATATTTGCATACATTTCAGTTGTATAACTCAAATGGGCTGAACTGAAAAGCTCAGAGACTCTGGGAAACTGAGAAGAATTCCTGAAATACCTTTATTAAAAAAAATTATGATGAATGAAAATATCTAATGGAGGTGATGTTATGGCACAATACTAATATGTGGTGCTACAATTGCTATAATTAAAATTACATCTCACATTCCTTAGAGGATCTGAAACCATGGTGCTGGTGCATTTAAACAGTTGTAAACCCTAAGTATACAGGGAAACACTTAGACTCATTACAGGGAAATCATTTCTTTACCCTATGATGTCAGAACTAAAGGGTAAGTCTAAATCGTGAGTTGACGATCGTGCTATTATTTTCAACCTCTTTTATATGATTACGACCTAATTGCTAGCAACCTTTCAGTAAGTTGTTATGAGCTACTAAAATTTGGTATAGGACATTATTTCATTAACACAAAATCATGTTTATAATAATCTCTTGTAAACTGTAAATAGTAAGTGACTGATATGTTTCCAAATCTTTGTTATCACAGGTTTGTTTTTCCTGTGGGAAGTGGAAATGAGTACGGCTCTTCTAAGGGGGCCAAAGTCAGACACATTTTAGTGTCACTCATAAATTAGGAAGAAAAACTAAGCCTTACTCTGAATTTCTGGGGCTGTGTCCACTTTTCTCTCTGTCCTTATCTTTTTGTCACTTGTCCTTAAAATCTTTTTCTCCCTTCAGAATTACTCTCTAAAAAAACTTTTTGCTCATCTCAGGTTTCTAAGCATTGGATGGAATCATAAAGCTAGTGAGAAAGTTTGAGGTACAGATAGAAAATAGGAAGGCACGAGAATCTGCTAGTATAGTGTGCTTCCTGATCTTTTTTGGATCAGAAAACCTTTTGAAATTTAATGAAAGCTATGAACTCTCCTCAGGAAAAATATATAAAACCCACATACAAATTGTAGGAGTTTCATAGCACTCCAAGATCTAAAAAAATACATGGTGGACTGTTAGCTAGGTGCCTTATGTTCTGCAACTAGGACGAGTTGATAAACTCCTCTAGGCCTCTGTTTACTCAACTGCACAATAGGTATCACAGCTCGTAGCCCCTTTTCACAGGTATATTAGGAGAGAACGTGAAAATTTTCATGAAAATACTTGGAAATAAATGTGCTGTGGAACAAACCCGATTACAACAAAATGGAAAAAAACTGTACACGTTTTTTGTTTAACTGTAATTTTAGTAAAATAGATGTTTCCCTACCTAGTTTTAGGAGTCTTATATACAGATGATTTCATTAACATGGTATTTTACTATAATGAGATTTTATATACGTGTGTGTGTGTGTGTGTGTGTGTGTGTGTGTGTGTCAGTAAAATGATAACCCTGAATATTCTGCTGCTTTGGTTTGGTATATTTATGGATATACCTCTCAAGTTTTTGAAGCATATCTTCTGAGTATAGAAAATTAGGACTCTTGAATAGAAAATGTTTAGGGGAAATTTTTCATATTTTGAACGATTGAGTGCTTGTGGTTGCTATGGGGTAGATGCAATGTACAATTAAAGATAATTGGATGGTTTTAGGAAAGCTCTCAAAAGCAGTTTGTATAAATGGTGGTAATCTTGTTAAATCATATTAAGATAAATCCAGAACATCAAAGTGAACATTACACTAAAGATTGGGGTCTTTGCGGACAGTATAAAATAGAAAAAAGAGAAAGAGGGTCTTTATAACATATTTTCTCAATGAATTTTGAGGTTTGTTGTATTTTTTAAACTTGACTAAAGCACTATTATTTGAGAAATACCTAGCCCTTAGAGGTAAATGAGCAGATATTTCTGCAGTGTTCTATCAGTATTGACAATGAACTGTGATCACTACATTGGGCTGATGTAATTTCTTTAAAATTTTCCGACATTTTAAACTATGAATAGTCAGGTTCTTGTTTCTAGTGCAAACTAAACTGACTTAAATTTCCCAGGATCTGTATTTTCATTTATAGCTTGCAACTATTACATTCTTACCAAAGACTATCGAGGGCATTTTCTGTAACTTTCACAATGTGGTTGGTTCTCACCCTATTTCTCAATAGAACATTGATAAACAATTGTGTGTTGAGTTGGTTTTTTTGGTTTTTTGTTTTTAACCAAATGATGTTTATTTGATGCTCATGGTGGTGAGAGTTTTTAAATGTTAGTATCCTTGCTGTTTTAGGATGCACATTCACAGGGTGAGGTGGTATCATGCTTGGAGAAAGGCCTGGTGAAGGAAGCAGAAGAAAGAGATCCTAAGATTCAAGTCTCTGAACTCTGCAAGAAAGCCATTCTCCGGGTGGCTGAGCTGTCCTCAGATGACTTTCACTTAGACCGGCATTTATATTTTGCCTGCCGAGATGATCGGGAACGTTTTTGTGAAAATGTGAGTCAGCTCAGAAACTGTTCTTCTTTGCTTCCTTTTCTTCCTAAATATTTTTTTATACTCGATTCCAAAATTAAACCAACACAAGCTGTCACATGTAGAAAAGTCACAAATGGAAGGTGGAGTTGGTCCCAGGATAACAGAAAGTTATCTGGGTACTGGATACGGCTGCTCAGCCTTGAGGTAACATCTAGTTAACACTTGGCTTCGAACAGTCTCCATACGTTGTTTTTTCTACTCTATCTCACTTCTCAATTTCAGTTCTTGGAAGTCTGTTTTATATATAGGAATCCTATCTTACCAGGGAATCCCATTCACATATATTCCACGGCTAAAAACTGGCCATATTATGTATTTATATTTAACTACTTTTGGCTAAGACGAAGGAAGCAGCAGGTGGCTAACTTTTAAAACCAAATCCTTGGTTACTACCTGCGTACCCTATAGAAGAACTTTCCAACCCTTTAGGCAGAAATAATCTCCATCTTTACTGCAAAGGACTGAGCGTGACTTGTGTACACTCCCACTCTGCCTGCTGTTTTGAATTAATAGCTTTAACTATCAGAGCCAATGCTAGAGTTTTATTGACTCTAGCATAAAGTTGTAAGAAGAGAGACTCATTGACGCTTCTCTTGGTTTCCTAATTAACAGTATGTCTGGGAACACATGACAGTGTGTTCAAATACCATGGGAAATTTTTTTCATCTTTACTGCAATCATTACTTTCTTTCAAAGGCTACTAAATTTTATAAATGGCTGAGCCATGTGTTCAAAGGTAGTCATCATTATAATAATTTAACAGAAAGTTCTTTATAAAATTGTGGATATTGCCCAGCATAACTACTTAGCTAGTGATGATGATGATGTTATATTCCATCTTACAGACACAAGCTGGTGAAGGCAGAGTATATAAGTGCCTCTTTAACCATAAATTTGAAGAATCCATGAGTGAAAAAGTAAGTATTACTTTGAAACAAACGAGCATTTTATTCATTTTCTTAAAAGCTTTCTCAAATCCTCTCAAACAATATTTTTATAAACTCATACCAAAATATAAAGTACTGATACAGCTTATCCTTTTCAGAGGTAATATACTTGGCTTTTAGTAGGAAACCAAAGCATATTTCACTTAAACCAAAAAAATTAAGTTTCTCGGGATATCTGGACTTTGGGATGCCAATGGGGAATCAATTTGGGGAGTAAAATCAGAGAATTTTATATCAGAATTACACTGAAGCCATCCCTATGTACTCAAGAAGTTTAGACTAACCAAACCAATATGCTTAATAATTAGCAATTTAATTTTTCAGCAACTGTCTCATTAAGCTTTCTCATTACTGTTAGTTCTTTGTCCCTGGATGAATGCAAGAATCTTTTATGACTTTTGAAAGTCGTTATTTTTGGCTTTGCTGTCCTGTCACTTACTTTCCTGTGCAGCTGAAGAAATGTTTGTTTTTTGGGGGGGTTTTTTGTGTTCTTTTTCGGTACGCGGGCCTCTCACTGTTGTGGCCTCTCCCGTTGCGGCGCGCAGGCTCAGCGGCCATGGCTCATGGGCCCAGCCGCTCTGCAGCATGTGGGATCTTCCCGGACCGGGGCATGAACCCGTATCCCCTGCAGCGGCAGGCGGACTCTCAACCACTGCGCCACCAGGGAAACCCTGAAGAAATGTTTTTCATTTCACTTCCTTATATCATTTAGTATTGAATAATTATATTTAAAAAGTGTAGAATGGAGCTTCCAGAGTGTTATATCAGTTGCCACTTTCATTCTGGTGAAATTTACTTTCGGGATATTGTTGAAAAGAATACTTTGTCAAGTGAATGTATTAGAATCTACCAAATATTTATGTGTTTTGGACAGTTGCTATTGTTGCAACCATCAGCAATTCACCATAGAATTCCAGGCTTTCCTGCTCATATACCCCTACTTCTTGCTACACTAGTTCAGCACACTTGTGCTCAATTTTAACCAAACTTAAACATAGACATTTTGGTAACTACTGCAGTTGTTTACGGTACTTGGCCATGAGCCTCTGCTTTTCTTAGAGGTACATGTGAATGGCTCAGCCTCCTGAGCGGTCTCACAGCTCCCTTGGTGCCCTCTTTTCTCAGTGTCGAGAAGCACTAACAACCCGCCAAAAGCTGATTGCCCAGGATTATAAAGTCAGTTATTCATTGGCCAAATCCTGTAAGAGTGACTTGAAGAAATACCGATGCAACGTGGAAAACCTTCCTCGGTCCCGGGAAGCCAGGCTCTCCTACCTTCTGATGTGTCTGGAGTCAGCTGTGCATAGAGGTAAGAGTTAATTTCTTTTTATCTTTTTCACTCCTTTTTGGATCGTCTCCTCATATGTGGGCTCTTTTGAGTACACTTGTACCTTGTGACTCAGGAGCCTTTCTTTGTAAGCAAAACTCTAGGCTGAAGGCTTGGTATCCCTAAGTCTTATTGAAGCCCCTTGCTCTTAACTCAGCAGCCCTAAATTTTGTTTTTCTTTACATCCCAGCTTTTTTTAAGTAAGGTATATTTCTCAAATCCAATTTAAAATTTTTAAAATGCATGTCACACAGCAATTTTAGGAGAGTCAGGGAAGCGTAATAATGATATAGCATATGAGCTTTGGGTCAGAGAGACGTGACTTCAAATGATGGCTCTATCACCAAACTAACTGCCTGGGCACCATTATTTATGTTTCTTCATCTCTGCAAACCTCATTTTTCTTATCTGTAAAACAAAAATATATTACCTGTGTTGAGGAGTTCTTGTGAGGATCGAATGAGGTTTTTTGGCATAGCACGTAACATACGGTAAGTGATAAGTACTGTTATTATTCTAACAGTGTTGATATAAAGAAATTAAGCAGTGAAAGAAGGAAGGATTACCTTATAAGGTCAGTCTCGGGGTCTGTTCAGTCCAAAAGTCAATCCCTGATAAAGGAACTAAGAAGGATATATAAAAGGTCAGGGTCATTCAGAAAAAACATTTCTTAACGTGGACTATAGGATGTAAAAATGAAATTCCTAGCTGTCGAATGAATAATGCTAGGACAATTGCCTAGTGATTAAAAAGTTAAGTGGAAAAAGATCAGTTGTTAAATAAAACTCAGAACTTTTTGTTGAATTTTTTTCTCATATCTGGGTAGTGAAAGACTCCTAAGCTTAAAAGCAATGGAATAGCAACCAGAGACCATGCATGTTTGGTATTCATGCAAACGAAGGACATTTTGGAGGAAATTGGAGAATTTTGATTATGGTCTGGGTGTTTGATGAAATTTTCTTGAAATGTAAAGGTGGAGATTGTTGCCTACTAAAAGCATATTATAAAGCAGAATGCAAAACATCTAATTTTGGTATTTAAAAAATAGAGCGTTAATCTCCTTAAACTGCAAATTAACAGGAAACACAAAAAGACTCAGCAAATAAATGGTCAAAGGATATGAACAGATAATTCATAGAAGTTATACAGATTTTTAATACTAAAATGTCTGAACATGTGAGTGTTAGTAGGATGTGAAAGAACTGGAACTACACTATTGATGGGAATTTTAAATTTCTACTTTGGAAGATAGTTGGCCAGTTTCTTAAGAAGTTCCACATACATCTAACTTATGACCCAGCCGTGTAAATCCTAGGTTACCCAAGATATATAAAAGCATATATCCATATAAACTCTTGTGTATGAATGCTCATAACAGCATATTTGTAATAGCCCAAAACTGGAAATAACCCAAATGTTCATCAGCAGTTTAAGGGATAAACGAATTGTAGTGTAGCCACATAATGGAATAATATTACTTAGCAGTAAAAAGGAATGCACTGTTGATTTGTGGCTGAATCTCAAAAAATCTGAAAGAAGTCAGACAAAAAAAAAAAGAGTCCATAGCATATCATTCCATTTATATGAACTTTATTTATATGAACTTCTGAAAAATGCAAACTAGTAAAATAATGTGTAGTCACAGAAAGCAGATCAGTGGTTGACTGGGCATGGGCTAAGTGGGTAGAGAGGAAAGGAAAGGAGGGATTCTAAACGAACATGTGGAAGCTTTTGGAGTTGATGGTTATATATGTTCGATCTCTTGATTGTGGTGATGGTTTCATTGATGTGTGCATATGTCAGACTTATCCAATTGTATGTTTTAAAAGTGTAGTTTATTATATGTCAGTTATACCTCAGCAAAGCTGTTTTTTTGGTTAAATTTCATAAGTGTTCCCAGATGGCATTGACAGCTCAAAGAAGAGTTGGGGAGCTGTAGTGAGTATTTGAAGTGACGATTTTTCCACAAGCTTAAAGGGTGTAAGCCAGTAGGGGTTTTCCTGGCTTTCATTTTTACCCCATTAGTTATCTTATTGATAAGACTTCTGTTGGCAAAACATATACATTACTGGTTCAGTAGTATAAAATTCTGTATAAGGCAGCACACTGACAGGGTAAACCCTAGTCTTTGGAGTATTAAACTCACTTTATGCTGATAAAGCTTTTGCTAAATTCTCTGCTTTTCAGTCTAGATAATAGTATGACTGGTATATTCTAGGGAAAAACTTGTACTTTTAATATGTGGTAATATCTGATCCTGTAGCTCACCATCCATAATGTTGTGACTTAAATCCTAACAGGGCGGCAAGTGAGCAGTGAGTGCCAGGGCGAGATGTTAGATTACCGCCGCATGTTGATGGAAGACTTTTCTTTGAGCCCTGAGATCATCCTGAGCTGTCGGGGGGAGATTGAACACCACTGTTCTGGATTGCATCGAAAAGGGCGAACCCTGCATTGTCTGATGAAAGTAGTTCGGGGGGAGAAAGGGAACCTTGGAATGAACTGCCAGCAAGCGGTAAGGACAGATTTTCCGCTGCCATTTTTAATGTTACAGTTTATCAGCCGAGGAGCCTCTTCCTGACACTGTCCCAGCTTATTTATCTGGATCATTTGTGACATCACAGTGAACCTTAGGTATTAAGAACTAGACACAAAATACTGTTTCTTCAGGCATATCAGAGTAAAAACGTGGAATTTGCTGCAGAGCAGAAGTTCGAGCTCATAATAAATAAAAAGAACTATACAGTAAACTTAAAGAAATAGATGAAATGCATTGTTTACTGGAGTGTTTAAAGAAGAGATATCTGGCTAGATTATATTTACTAAGGCAAACCGGGTTCTGGTAAATCAGAAAAGGTCTTCCAGTAAAAGAGAATGTGCCTCTCCCACCACTTTTGATTGAGTTGAGGCTGAAAGAGAGCTGAAATGAATTGAAACTTTCTAAGATTCTCTTCATATTACCGATACGCAGCATGGCATGAATTCCTGGCCTGAAGGATCAAGAAAGCATGTCGTTTTCAAAATCCCACCATCTTTTCTCGTTCAGCAAGGGCAGCTGTGCATGGGAGGGTCTTTCTGTACCGCCAAACTCTACAGTCAGTTCTGTAAAGACAGTTGGAAAAAATTAGCGTGCTTTGCTTGAGAAGATAAAGTTGTTCTTGATCCAAGGTTCATAAACAGTTGAGTAACTATAGATCAGGTACATAATATAATTTAACAAAGTATTATAATAGATACAGTGCATCTGTTTCATTACCATTATCCATGTTTATTGCTTTTTACCGAGTAAGAGTCTTTGAGCAATTTACAATACGAAATGTAACAGTGGCATCCTGTACAATGAATTCTGTGGTTTCCTATACCTTCCTTTAGGAAGCACAGAAGATAGAGTTTAGCCTTATACTCTAAATTAGAAGGTTGAGATTCTCTCCTAAGTGAAACTTCAGAAAACTGCAATTCATTAGTCTCTTATTTTTGTTGTTGGCATTTTTTATTAAAAGCGGAATATTAATTGAATTTGATTTTCCTGCTAATCAGGTAAAATCATAATTTTACAGAGTCTGAAACACAAAATTTCCATAGGATTTTGACGTGGAGTAAAAGTTCACCTTAGCTTCTATTACTCACCCTGACCCAGAGTGGACAGTAACTTACACATCCCATAGTGGGGAAAATAGACAAATGTCGCCTCTTATCCAGAATACCAGGCCTAGCTAGAAGGAAGCCTTCTGGATGTAGTTCCTCAGGAGCAGTCTTTGCTGGTGATTGTCCTGGGAAACTTCTGTGACAATGTGTGTGCCTGGGCCCCAGACCAAGAACAAATCAAGACATTTCATCCTTAATGCAGCATGCAAAGGGGAGGGTGGTGGTCAGGACTAAACTTATATTTTTACTGAGGCTACACTTTGTACTAAGGTGTACAGAAAAGAGAAATTAGTTTGATTTTATTTGGAAGCATCTAGTTTACCTCCAGGGCTTTTTGAAATTTAGCTTGTTGAGAGAGAAATAAATAGCACCCACCTATTGCTTTGTGCCCAAAAGAAAAGTGCTTCCAAACCTAGAGGTTAGCCTCAAAAGGTAATATAAGTGGTTTTGTCCACATTAAGTTTAGCTAAGTGGGCAAGAAACACTTCATTTTGTTTTTTATGGACCTGTGGTCTTTAGCCTTTGCTTACAAAACTTGAAGATAGGTGATCCAAAGGGAGAAAGTTTTCCTTAGTCATCTACTTCATTATCCATCCTCAGTCACATGGAGGAATGTTTTGTAATAATTTGCTTTTCAAAGTTTCTTTCCTTGATACAGTAGATTTCCATATTGGTCTGTGGTTGACCATTAATTTTCCCTTGTTCTCTGCTTGGTGGTGCTTTGATTTAGTGATCTCTCAACAAATAGTAAAGCGAATAAATAGTGAAGCATAAGAACAATTATTATTGTAATGAGTGTATACTCTTCCAAATACACTGTGATCATGAACTTAAATTCTTTTCAGTTATGGCTGAACAAATCTTGGCCCAGTCTCTCCTAAGGAGACTGCCGTCTATTCTCTAGACTAATTTTTTGGAAGCATTTTTTCACGTTTTCCTAAGCAATCAGGGCAGGAATAGATGTATCATCATGTAATAGTTCACATACTTGGTGTTTATTTCCCACACCGCTGTCACTGGATTCCAGAGTAGCAGTGATCCCTTGAGCCTTTGACCTCCTAGAGTCTGTAGGGCATTCACTGTCTTCTTTTGGAACCTGCAGTCTGGTACACGCACGGAGAATTCTCAAAGTTTGCCTGTCAATCATGGATATTTAACTGATAAGTTCTTAGAGAAACTTCCAGACTCCCATGATGCTTATAATGTCCCTCAGGAAAAGAAGTAAATAATTTGGTCTTTGTCAGCAAATTAAAATTGGTAGTCATTTGACAGTAGTAGTAATCTTCCTACTAACTAACCACTGCATTTTGAAGCTTCTCCAAATTGCACCAAGAATTGGTATAAATAAGTTCCATCCCAGAATATTAGATCTCTTTCATACTTCTCTCATCTTGATTGTTGACTTCTTTTAGGAGAGACAAAATTGAGTTTTTCTTTTGATCTTTGTTCTCTGATCAAGTATGTGATGGGGTCAATGCTTTCATACGAGCCTCTGTAGGATTGTAGGTCAAATGTATGAGGATCAGAGAAGGCTCCTACAGAGGCTAAATCAATGACACAAAAAGGGCCCCAATTCTTTAACTTGGAACAAAAGGAACCCCAACCAGAAGGACCGTAGTTTTCAGATTTGCTTTGTGTTATTTAAGATTCCCACCCCAAACACCATCTGCTACCCATCTGTAGTAATAATGATCTTTTACATCTGTAAAATGCTTTGCAGCTTACACAACCTTCTATATATTATTCTTCCTTATAATTCTTTGCAGTTAAAGAAACTGGAACTTAGAGGTTAATCAACTTGCCTTTGTTCTCAAAGCTAGTATCTGGCAGAGACAGAGCTATTAATAGAACTCAGGTTTTCTCATCCTTAATTTAGAGGTTTTTCATCTGTGCCCCGACTGCTTTCTCCTCAGACAGGAAAAAAGAATCTGAGGCACATCTTATCATGCTTTCACTTTATTCTATGACAGAGTGTGGACCAAGCAAAAGTAAATGTTAAAGAATATATCCTCATTTTCAACTGCATAATGACAAGTATTTTTCTGTATTACTTGTAATGAACAAGCTCTGGTTCATCTCTTGGTTATATAAAAAATAGTTGAGGAAAAATAGGAAATTATAAGTAATATTCTTGTGTTTTGTAATTGGTATTTCTTGCAACTGAAATCTCACATCTCTTTTTAATAAAGCAGAGTATACTTGTTTTATGCCATTGTCTTTGCAGCAAAATTCAAATTCTAGATTTTTAAGAGCAAATTAGATCTCTAACTGGAAATGTCTTCTCTTCTCCACTCAACTCTGCCTTGGCACTGAGTGTCAGATTTAGTAATTTGATTAACAGATGTGAGGAAAGAGGCAGCTTTTATATTGTAAGGTCCTCTTGTTTTGCACACATCCAGGGATGGTTCAGACAGGTAGGCCAGCTATACCTACAATAACTTAAACAGAAAAACTTGCAAAGTAGAGGAACTAGTTGGAAAGTATTTGACAAGAGCTGTTGAGCTTGGCCAGTGACAACTGTAGTACCTTGTTACGAGTACATTGTGATATACCAGACTGAGAACTGATTGAAGACATGACGTTGCTCATCCTAGATGTATAAGTGACTTTCTTTGTTCCTTCTTAATTTTTCTTAATCCAGCTTCAAACACTGATTCAGGAGACTGACCCTGGTGCAGATTACCGCATTGATAGAGCTTTGAATGAAGCTTGTGAATCTGTAATACAGACAGCCTGCAAACACATAAGATCCGGAGACCCAATGTAGGTTATCTTATTTGTGGTATTATATTGTATTTGGCAGTGCAGCATGGGGAATATATCCCCAAATGACTTTCAGACGGTTTAGCAACTTAACTGAAATTTTGTTAAGCAGGAACACATACCAGCTTTTGTTAAAACTAGTATTGGGATTGAGACTTGGGCTCTGCCTCATCCATGATGTAGAGAACCTAGACCCAGCATTGTCATGATGTTTGTTGACAGTGACTGAGCATATACAGTCCTAGACATTAGGTCACTGAATAATCCTACTTAATGGTCAAATAAAAATCAGAGAGAAAAACTCACAGGATAAAATGAAACATGCTTTGGCTCTATACTTTTCATCCTATGTGTATATTGTCTCATATGCATTGGCAACTTAATAATTATTAGAGAGTAATTAATTATAATTGAAATAAAACACAAAATGTGGTGGTTGGAGGGGGTAATCATGGACAAAATGAACTCTGAAGTTATATCCAAGATCTAGGAAAGCTGTAAAATGCTGTAATAAAGCATTTGAGTCTCATGTATTGGTTTTTTTTCCATATGATGTGCAAACAGCTCTTAAAACCAGGTTGTAAGTAAGAACAGGTTTTCCATTCTGCAAAAATCTTTATAGCCTGCAGCCGGCCGTACCCAACTGTGTGAAACAAATGCAGTCCATGTTTCTCATCATTCTCCTGTGCATATACTCCAGATGTTCATGCTGTGGTAGGAGGTTAAAAAAAAGGTCTTCTTCCTTGAAGCTCTTTGTATGGTTGGTGGAGGTAGTCAAACACTCTTAAGACTGATTAAGACTATTTACCAATATGAAAATAACTGCGTCAACTATTAAGGGGGCAGGGGAGAGGGAGGAAGGAGGGAACTGCTACAGATTAAATAGATTTGAGATGCTGTCAGTTAAATGCAGGTTATGGACCTTTTCTGGGTCCTGATTTGAACAAACGTGAAAAGGCATGAGATAATTGGAAAAATTTGAAAGCTTACAGGATATTTCATGATATTAAGGATTTTTAGATTTACTTCTTTGGTGGATAATGGTATTATGTTTTCATATATAGAGAAACATGCTGAAGTATAATATTTACAAATGAAATGATGGGGTATCTGGGATTTATTTCAAAATATTAGCAAGGAGGGTATAGGGTTAAAACAAACTTTGTCTTAAAGCTATGGGAAGGGAAGATGGATATTATATGATTCTCTACTTTTGTATGGTTGGAAGTTTCTCATAATAAACAGTTAAATATAAAGCAGCTGCACACAGCTCTTGTGTAAGCTGAGTCCTAAGTGCTAAGTGGCTCTAAAGTTGATAGAAGGCATAAGCACTGTAAGGTTGAGTTAATTTGAGTGATTCTCAGGAAAGTCCCTGATTGCCCTAGGAAAATAGCTAAATGGCTTTTTCTACAGACCAAGCAATACTGGTGTGAGAGTTCTGAATCCATTGTCAGAACTTTCTCTAGTTACAATTTCACCCCTGTTTTATGCCCAGGATCCTCTCGTGCCTGATGGAACATTTATACACAGAAAAAATGGTGGAAGATTGTGAACACCGTCTCTTAGAGCTGCAGTATTTCATCTCCCGTGATTGGAAGTGAGTATTTTGTTTTGTTTTGTTTGGGGGTTTTTTTGACCACGCGGCATGTGAGATCCTAGTTCCCTGACCAGGGATCGAACCTGTGCCCCCTGCATTGGAAGCGCAGAGTCTTAAGCACTGGAAGTGAGTATTTTGAAGCCATAGTAAGGTAAGCCTCAGCCTGTTCTCCTGTGTAGTCACTATCCCTTGTATTTTTAAAAAATAATCAGTAGTAATTTGTTTTTGTTAAGTTGTGGGATAGCTGACACTCTAATCTCCAGAAAAATCTCTTTCTTGCTTTCAGAACAGTATCTAAAAGCAGAGACAGCCCCTGCAGGTCTATTCCCAAGTGTCCCCATTAACTACTACATTGAAAGTCAGGGTCCAGTGTTTCTGATACCACAAACGTCTATCTAGAAAGAACTTGGGCAGCGGTGGGGCAGCAGAAGCATCTTCAGATATGTCTCTTATAGTGATTTTTATTTTTATTGATTTGTCCTGGGTATGGGAGTTTGCTTTATTTCTTTTACTATTCAAAGTTAATTGAATTTATCCTGTCTTAAGAAGCTCTTCTGGGTAAATGACAACTTGATTCTCTTCTCATCCTGTTAGCTAGAAAAAAGGGAGGAGGTAGATGAAATAGAAGTATATCTCTTATAGTCAGAATAACTGTTTATTGGCTACAATCCCTTCCTCTTCCCATGTCTTATTTTCTCTTCCCACCTCCAGACCAGGCTGTTCCTCCCAAGTTCAGCTGCTTCCTGATTGTTTTAAGCCACTGTACTTTGGTCATTAATTATTTTTCTGGTGATTAATATATGTTTTACCCCCATACTTTACTGGAAGAAGATTACTTGAAGACTCAGTGTGTCTATTTCTGTTTCCTCAAGTTAACTCTTGAAAGGACTTCAGAAACTTGGGTGGAAATTTCCCTGTGCTTACTCTGGCTATCTAAACCGAAATAACAGAGTGTTTACTGAGTTTATTACCTTAAAAAAGTATGTTTTTTCCTCTTCTGTAATTCCTTCATCCATGATCAAAGGATGCTTTCCAATCTTTAAAGCTACTTAAATAGTAGCCTTTTTCCTCCCACTAAGTAGCCCTCCCCCAGAGTTGATAATATAATGTAGACAGAATGAAGTGTCCATTGGTCTGATTTGGAGAGGCAGCAGGCTCATCACCTAATCCACTGTCTCCAGAGTCAGAGTTAAATGTCAAGTTTTTTTAATTGATAAGCATGTTCAGGTAAACTAAAAATATAACTGCCTTACCTTGCTTGGGGAAAAGAACTGGAACAGTTTTACTAGAAAAGAACTTGAGGAGGAGACTGTTTATCCTGTCCTTTCCTGATCTTAATGAACCTAGTATATCAGGTAAGATTGACTTTTACTCACAGAAAAAGTACTGAGTAAAAGTTGTGAATTGCCTGGTGATTGCTACAACCCTTGTCTCATTTCAGCTAGGGCATGTTAATGCTGAGTCTATTATTGTAATGTTGTGTGCCTTACATTGCGAAAATACCATCTTTTTTTGTTTGTTTGTTTGTTTGTTTTTGGTTTTTTTTGCGGTACGCGGGCCTCTCACTGCCGTGGCATCTCCCATTGTGGAGCACAGGCTCCGGATGCACAGGCTCAGCAGCCATGGCCCACGAGCCCAGCTGCTCCGCGGCATGTGGGATCTTCCTGGACCGGGGCACAAACCCATGTCCCCTGCGTCGGCAGGCGGACTCTCAACCACTGCACCACCAGGGAAGCCCGCGAAGATACCATCTTTGAGGCAGAACTTAAATCTTCTATATTAAGGATTAACAAACTTCTACTGATTAACCACTGTGTGTTCATGAAGAACAAAATTCAGGAATGTACTCGTGCTCACCTGCCGTCTCCATTACCCTAGAAGTGATTGTCAACGGGTACACAAACAAGCACCTTGCAGAAACCCTTAGCATGTCTTGGGAGGAAAGGTATAGTAAGAGTGGTTATCTCTTAACTCTTAACCTTATAGGCTGGACCCTGTCTTATACCGCAAATGCCAGGGAGATGCGTCTCGTCTTTGCCACACCCACGGTTGGAATGAAACCAGTGAACTTATGCCTCCTGGAGCTGTGTTCTCTTGCTTATACCGACATGCCTACCGCACTGAGGAACAGGGCAGGAGGGTATGCACTCAATATTGACTTCATTTCTTCCTGTCATCGTTTAATTCATTTGCTGTGGATTGTTGTGATTCCTGTCATCCTAGGAAAACTTTGTTAGTGTATCTGGCAAGGAGGGGTTGCTGCACTACTAGAAGCTTCTTCACTCAGTGAGTGTACATAGAATTGTTCTGCCAGCTTCCTTCCATCTGATTTTATGTTTTTAACAAAATGAGGGGACATTTCCAGTTTTTCTTAAAATTACCAAAATCTAAATCACAAGTAGACAAATGCCGCTACCCTAACTGTATTTAGCGTTAAAGATCCATTAGAAGCTCTTAGCCAAGGTGTAAATGGTTTTTAGGCTTCTGCCCTTGGCAGCAGAGCCCATAGTGCGTGTATTGGTGAGGCCCCCTCAGGCAGCACACTCGTTGGAGCTACACCCTCCACGCCCCACTCTCTCGGTATTTGTCTGCCCTGAGTACTGCCTCTTGTTGGGATATTTGCGACTGCTTGGCTGTCAGGTAACATTTGTTGCCTTCTGGTCCCGTACTGACATGCTGCTTGCTCTCCAGGGTGGCCTTGTTAAGCCTTCTGAGATACTCTATTGCATTTCAGCCCTGCATTTGTTACAGAAAATATAGGTGGTATTATTTCACAGGCATGTTTGCAAATACCCCTTCTGAGCTTAATGCAAAAGTCTGACTTTAGGATTCAGAATGAGGAGACTCAGACAGAAAGAAATGTCATACTTTAGTTACTGCAGTATTAACCCAGTTTTTATATTGCTATGTAAGAAAATATGGAAATTTGTTGTTACTTTTTTCTTCGTATAATGAGCCTGTCATTAATCACAGGAGCTCCTAAATCCTAGCATCTTGGTAGTCACTATAGTAGGAGGTTCCTTGTCTTTGTAAATAAAGAAAAAGTTGGAATCTGGTATGCTGTCCTTTTAAAAAATAGGCTTCTTTTAAAAATCGAGGTTAAAGTCACATAACATAAAGTTAATCATTTTAGAAGGAAAAATTCAGTGGCATTTAGTACATTCACAAAGTTGTGCAACCACCACCTCTGTCTACTTCCAAAATATTTCCATGTCTCTGAAAGGAAACTCCTATGCCGATTAAGCAGTTACTCTCTATCCCCACCATACCTCCCTCCAGATGTGTTGGCTCTTTTAGGAGGAGAGGCTGACTGTACCTGTCAATGACAGCTTTCTCACAACTCTCCCCAAAATATTAGTTTTCATATGTTTGACCCTCTGCTTAATTCTCATTAACTTATCTAGAAGAGTCGGGTTCTGACCTGAAGTAACTCTCACCTGCTTGTTCCAAGTTTAGGTAAATTTGAACTCAGTTCTCCTCACTCAAGTGTTTATTCTCTCTTGAATCAGACCCAGTATTCCACTCTACATTCATAGAGTAGTGGCAAATTAATTTTCCTGAACAAAAAACTCTCTACCTCATCTGAACAAATCCAGTTCATTTTTTAATTGAAGTATAGTTGACTTACAATATTATATTAGTTTCAGGTGTACAGCATAGTGATTCAGTCCTAATTCACTTTTATCAGGATACTCTGAGAAAAGAATATTGTTTCATACAGTATATTAGAAAATGCCTAATGTATTTATAATCGCATTCCTAGAGATAAAGGTGTTTAGAAGCCTCATAGAACATTTAATTTTTATTCTGGAAGAGATTCGAGGTTTAAAGTTTGGTTCAAGTAACTGTAAACTTATTTGTTATTTTCCTGACAATGGATTTGTTCTATCTGGTGTCTTCTGGTTTTGGTTTTGGTACCTTTGAAGTATTTTGCTTATTATTTCTCATTTAGCTGTCACGGGAATG